TTGTCCGTGGAGATGATGAATAAATCAGGTAAAAAGTTTGATATATTAGCAGAAAATTTAAGAGATTCATCTAACGTATCCATTTTCCATGCATATATATACACACATTTGAAAATGAGTGAGGACACTATACGAAAGGCAATTAAACAAGGCAATTATGTTAAAAATGAATGTTGGATAAATTCATTAACTGATTTTTACAGTGATACAATCATGAATGAAAGAACCCGCAACAGACTAACCAGAGATAAAATTATTGAAATCATAGGTAGGAATAATTTTAAGGAAGTAGGAGCAACCATTCAAGAAATGGAAGCAGTATTTAAGCAGTTTAATATTCAAGTTAGAATTTTTAATTTTGTAAATGAACTTATTTACAAATATAACCCAAAAATAAGAAACCGTCATATTAAAACATTTTACGCTATGGTGAAAAATAACCATATTTATACATTAAACCACGATTTAAGCAAAATACAACAAAAACAAGTAATATCAAAACTACCCACTATAAAGGCACACACTGATTATTATATAAATGAAAGAGAGGAACCCCCGCAATACAAAATGATTAAATGTATAGATGATATACTCAAAATAAAAACTGATGATAAAACAAGGGAAGTATATTTAGTACCCGAAGATAATGATTTGGCAGAAATATTTTTCCAGTTGATAAATATTGGATATGAACCCAGAATTAAATACACAGGTATTATTGATGAAATTAGAGTCAAATTTAACAAGATAACATATATCATAAAGACTCAAAATTTAATTAAATCATCCAGCGATGGTTGGATCGCAGCAAATAATGAAACTATGTACAACAATATGAATAAAGCAATGTTTAATTTTAATAAATCTTTATTTATTTTATCTCACAAATCTTTTTATAATGACATTGATATAAAAATATTAAACGAAACAAGGACTGTAGCACCTTCGGGATTATTATGGGATAAATTTAATTTAATGCGTAAAACTGAAATCGATGAAAATAAGGCATTTACAAACGGTTTCATAGATATTACTGAAATACCAGTTTTTAATCAGTTTGACAATTGGAAAGAATACAATGATGCAATTAATATTGATGAACTCCACGATCTAACATTATATTATATTGAAGTTAACTATCCGAATATACCAAATAAATACAGTATGGAACGTATTAAACGTAAACATCTTTTGGAGGAAAGTTTAAAATTTAAATCAAAAGAAGAAGTTGAATTCATAATGACAAAAACGTTACTGGGGAATAAAGAGGGCTTAATGTTTAATAAAAAATATAATTTAGTTTATGGTAAGTTTTTAAAAAAGTTTATTAATCAATATAACATTAAAGTATTATATTATAAACAACCTTCGTTTATTCATAAAACAAACTATAAGGATATGGTTAATGAACTTTGGAAAACTACTATAGATGATGATGATGATGATGATGATATACTAAGTAAAAAATTAATAGCAAATGTCAATTTTGGATTATTAGAGAAGGGAGAGGCTACCGCGCATCAAAGCATTTTGTTTAAGAGTATTGATGAAGCAATCCATTATCAAACAGAATACGGAGGCAAAATTCATAAGTTATCACAGATAGAAGGCAAAATTCATAGGTTATCACATATAGGTACAGAAGACGAAGAGTGTAAAGAGGAGTATGAAGAAGAGTATAAATATGAAATAGATAGAGAAAATATAAAAGCATCATATTATATATTAAAATTAAAGGATAAAGCAGTATTAAGAAACGGCTATAGATATATTAAATAACTACTCATGCAACATCATAATTTTAAAATGAACCAAGACATTTACAAATTAATAGTCAACGATATTAATGTATATAGTGTGAAAACCGATGCTTTTGTAATTGATTCATACAATGTAGAGAAAGCAAAGCAATTATTAGAATTTCATAATGATATAGGAGGTTGGAAAGTTTCTGGACGAGACAATGAAATTAATCTTCCTACTGTAAAATATGAAGTTGTTAAGAATGATCTAATAAAAATACCAGTTCATGAAAGTAAAACTATTGATATTAAAGATGAATACGACACTGATAACATTATAGAGATTGTTAAACAGAATAACCCTATTATGATCAGGGGCGAACTACCGGGCACAGGAAAATCATATATATGTCAAAAAATGGTTGATAAAAAATATAAGGTAATATTTATTTGTCCTACTAATAAATTATTACAGGCATTCGAAGGTGAAGCAATGACTATAAATAAGTTTTTTGGAATAAACTACGGCGATGCAAAATTAGAACCATTTGATTTTACAGAATTTGATGTAATCGTATTTGATGAAATTTATTTCAGTAATTTAAATATATATTGGAGAATAAAACAATTTGTAGAGCAGAATAAACACAACAAAATTATAATAGCAACGGGAGACACCAAGCAATTAAAACCAGTTCAAGAGATAACAAATACTCGAGACTATGAATTATATACTGATAATATTATAGATAACATTTTTGAATATAATATTTTGTTAAAAGAATGTAAGAGACTTAACACACAGGAAGATAAGGATAAACTAAGAAATATTAAATTTGATATTTTTGAAAATAAATTACCTATTATGAAAGTTATTGAAAAATATTTCGAATATACAACTGACATAAGCAATTCTAACAACAACATAGCATTTTTAAATACAACTTGTAAAAATGTCTCAAATGAAATTAGAAAATTAGAAAATAGAAAAGATGAATACGAAGTAGGCGAATTTTTGACATGTAGGGAATATACTAAAACTAAAACATCAGTGTTTAATGTAAATTTCAAATATAAAATAGTTCATATTGATAACGATGGAATATTTACATTAAAAAATGTCAAAACCGATATTTTACAATCCGTAGAAGTTGCTAAAATAAGAAGCAATTTTATATTTGCTTATTGCTCTACATGTCATTCTGCTCAAGGTAGTAGCATTGATGACACCATAACAATTTTTGATTATAATCATTTTTTGGTAAAGGATTATCCAGAATGGATATGGACAGCAATCACAAGGTGTAGAGATTTAAACAAAGTCAAATTTTATAAATATACGAAAGATATTGATGATGTATTTAATCAAAAATGTATTTTAAGTTATTTTGAAAGAAAAATATTAAACTACAAGGAACAGGACAGGAAAGCAAAAAGAACCATACCTAAAGAAGGTTATGTAAATGCACAGTGGTTTTTAGACAATATAAATAATCAATGCAATTACTGCGGATGCGGTTTTTCTATGGATATGAAAAATGGAAATATAATGACAAATCTAACAGCGCAACGTAAATCAAACGAGTTATCGCACGAACTGAATAATATTATTCCTTACTGTGTTAGGTGCAATTGTAGTTGTAAATGATAATAATTTAAATAATAATTTAATATTTCTTGTAAAAAGTATTTAAAGAAATAAAAACTATATATATTATAATCGGAATGGTTGAAACCGAAATCAATAATTATATCAATAAGAAATGCTACGACTGTTGCCACTTCAAAAAGGAAAATATGGAATTATACAAATTGAATTTACCTAATGGAATAGTTAATAATATTATTGATTATTCTTTGGATGAAAAAGGCGAATGTGAAAATTGTCAGGAATGGAGAGATAATCAAGCTATAATCAATTGTTTGTTGATAAAGAAAAGAAGAAATAATAGAAATGTTGAAGATGCCATTTTGATATTTTTAACTGTGTATAAAATACCACATTACAGTTATGTTAGAATATTTCTGAAAATCAGTAAGAAAAAATATGAAATGATTAAAGGTATATTGTGGATGTTGACTTGTCATTTTAGGGAAGGGTTTGATGTAAAAGAAGACATTAAAACATATATTGAAGGAAAAAAGTTTAATGTGAAAAATACAGTGAGAGATATTAATATTATTTTTAAAATAATGCATGAAAGAGATACGATATATACACAATTTAATGGTCATCAATTGAATTATTATCCTGAACTTAAGTTATAAAATTCTATCTACCTAACCTTGCCCATAATATTTCTACAAAATTTATGATAAAAATATTGTAAGATAATTTATCATAATTTTTGGAATAATATTTTTGAAAATTTATTTTTTGAAAAATTACTTTTTTTTTGAAAATATTATTTTTTTTGAGAAATATTTTTTTGATTTTTTTTTTTATGAATGAGCTTAACCTTGCCCATGCATCCTACCATCAATAACCATATCATATGAACCACCCTATACTCCTATTTCCACTCAAGCATCCTAACAATGACAAGAATAGAAAATGAGAAAAATGTAACTTTTTTGATGGATTTTGAGGTTGAGACTGTTATGAAATGTTTTGAGTGGAAATATGCATAATGAATAAGGATGACGATTTGAATAGTGAAAAATGGTTGAAAAATGCTGTTCTTGCGTAGGGTGGGGGTCACACTCGGGTACCATAAAAAGATGGGCAAGGCCTACCCTAACTATATCATGGTTGTTTAAGGATCATTACTACCAGGTGGATGACCATCCAAGTAAACCACAAGTCAAGTCGGGTTTTGACCATGGCACATATGACAATCTCCCGCCTAGCAATTTTGACAGTTTTGGTTCGTTGCACATAGCAAGGCGTGTCCGTAGTTTTCTTCAGGGTATGCTTGGGCCATTTCTGACCATTGCAACTTGCCGCACGAAACCTTGGGAACTTCATCCAGATGTGTCTAAGATTCGGAGCTGCTCAGTTTTGACATGGCCATTGTCCATTGTCAAGGCTTTTTTTCCGACACCGTTTGGGTAGTTTTTGGGGCAGTCTCGTTGTGGACGCGGTTTTGAAGGGAAATTCCTCCTAAAAAGCAACAGTAGGTTGGACTTGCCTTGTTCTTCTTGTTGGTTCCTGGTTTCACTTGGTTTTTGCTGGGTTTTTTGTTACATTTTCCCGTGGCTCCTCTGGGTTTCGGTGTGTTCCCCATGCGCTCCGCCGGGTTTCGGCCCTTCGGCCAGGCCAAGAAGCTGAAGCTCTGCCTCACCGCGGGCATCGGCAGCGACCACGTGGATCTCGCCGCGGCGTGCCGCCACAAGGTCACCGTGGCCGAGGCGCATTCGAGTCGCGGCGAGGTTCGATGCGCGGCTTTTAGTGGTTGCTGCCATTTGGGGTTCACTTTTTTGGGAACCTATTTCTTGACCACCCAAATGGTGCAGAGTCAAAGGTGTCCTTTTTAGGTGAGTTTGGTGTAAAATAGGTGGGTTCCACTGGTTTAGATGGGGTCATCGCTTTGTCCAAAAGGCCACCTATGTGCAGTATTGTTTTGACGTGATCAGTTTTTTCCCTGTTCTCCTCGTCATGCTTGGACATTTAGGGGAATGACCATAGGAGCAACCAACCCCGGATGAATTGGGGTAACCAAAAGAAGATGATCTAAAGCAATAGCTGTTTTCAGGGATTGTCCCAACCCTGCCGTTCGGCTGAGGTTCCGAGCCCAGTCAAATGGGACCGAGAAACAAAGCCAGGAAAAAGCAAGGCGGCGTGTCTCAAAATGAGCCCCCCCGAACAAAATGATTTTGTTGTGTTGTTTTTGTTTTGCCTTTCATCTAGTCCAACATGGGATTCCGTATTTGTTGGCGGAGAGATGGAGAGGAGGTGTTCCTGTTTCGTCCAGTTGGGCTAAATTTGTGTTCGGAACTTGGTTTGTTTTCGTTGGGTCTTTGGTTTCCCCCTAATGTAGCACAAAGATGATCCAGCGGCACCCGAGAGTCAGCTGCTGCAAAAACCGCTAGGGGCGTGGCCAGCAAATCCGCGAACATGCAGTCACGCAGGTGCGGGTCACACAGGCGGAATCCGGACACTGCGGCACCCGAGATTGATCTACATCCAACTCCCAGCGGAATCCCCGAAAGCGTCTTCCCCTTAGTTTCCCTTCAAAAGCCATCCCCAGAAGGGTACCAACTCCCAAAAGAAGTTCCACCCGCCTAAGCATGCGTAGCCTGATTTATCTACCAACGATATCCAACGATACACACATGCTGAGTGCAGTCAGCACAAGCCCCAAATCAAGATGAGCTGATTCATTCCAAGCTGGAGCAGTTTGAACCGAACTTGCCGCAACTAGCCCTTAGTAACAGATGAGTCTTTGCCAAACAGCCCACAGCTTTCTGATTTTCACCCAAACTGACAACCCCTTGTTATTTTTGCAGACCCGGTATTTCGACACCCAGAAAATGGCATCACCATGTCGCAATCTGGTGTTCAGGTCACCTTCTGCAACTCCATCTCAGTGGCGGAGCATGTGGTCATGTCGGTCCTGAACCTCGGCAACACTATGCAGGGCCAGTGCTGAGATAATGGACATGTGGGAGTGTGTGTTTTTAGTTAACCCTTTTTGGGGGTCACTTCAAAGGGAAATCAAAAGGAGACGGCATGAAACTGCCAATTTGTTGGGTGCCCCTATTTTAGACACAAACCCAGTTGTAACACAACCGAACTCGAGTAAATAAGTGAGGTTCTCCCAACCATAAATAAGTGTGAGTGTTTTTTTGATTATTTGGGTAGATCCCTTTAATCCGGGTTCTCATCATGACTCATGTTGGATGTGCTTTGCTTTTCTTGACCGGCCCTCTTTGGGGGTAGCAGCTCGCAACTGCCACCGAATCAGAGCCAATAGGCAGCCCTACGTCCAAGTGACGCCGCTGACGCTGCGGATGCGAAAAACCGGCGCATGGGAAAAGCACCTCCCCGAAAAGGCACCACAAAAAAGACACCTGATCATTGGAAGACAACACAGCTCAAGGGGCTAAAGTTGTGCAGGTGGACCAACCCCCCCCCCCCCCATGGAAAACCAAAAAGCACTTTGAACACCCCCCGCCTCCCCCGCCCCCCAAAAAAGGCCAAGAGGGATGGGAGACGCGACGCCGGGAAACTGATGCGAGCGGAATGGGAGTGGCGGCCTGAAGGTGAAACTGGCGATGCCCTTTGGACCTTTGAGGGGTGAGCTCCTCGAACCGAGTTCAATGGGTGCAAGCCCTGGATTTGGTTCGCAGCAAGATGTGGGTCATTTTGTCTATTCAAGGGGAACCCCTTTTTAAGGGCGGGTTTTCAAGGGAGACCAAAGGAAAAACCCGCCATTTTGAGGTTCCCCTATTTTGAGACAAAGCCATGTATGAATCGACTTGATACCTTTGTGGCTGTCGCAACACTTGTGTCTTGAAGTAATCTCAAGCTACGGGCCTGTGGCTTGTTTCCCTTCAACGAGGGGATTTTTGTTTGAAATAAGCCGAAGGGGCAATTTCCCTTGCTGAAACACCCCAGTTTTGTTGCCCCCAAAGGGTGCCGATTCTTAGGGGTCCGTCCATTTCCCTTTGGACCTCCAAAGGTGGTTTTCGATCGTTCCAATGGAACCAACCGGTTAAATTGAGCAGCTTTTGGAGGGGAGGTCCAGTGAGATATCCCCAAGCCCCAGACCCGTGGATTTCCATGGGAAAAAGGAATTAGGGGTCAAGGCACAAGGCACATCAATCGAGACGTCGCCTCAGGCTCTTTGCTGAAAACACCTGAAACTCCGCCCAACGCAGGAAAAGCACCTGCTGTAATATGGGAGTGTTTTTTTTGAGTACTCTTTTGGGGTGTGTTTTGAAGGAAAGCAACAAAGAAACTACCCATTTTGTGTGTCCCCGTTTTAAGACACACCCATATGGCAACACAAAGGGTCTTGGCAGCCTCACCCTGAAGGTGCTGCTGCCAAGCGAGACCATGTTGAGAAGGCCCCTGTCTGGTCGGCAGGATGTAAGATCTTCTCTTTGGCAAAGTCTTGAATCGTCCTTTTGCCTTGGCACACTGACTCAACATTGTTTGCCTGGTGTCTTCATTCGGATCACGGCAACACTAAGAACAGTCAAATATCTGGCCTTTGTCAACTTGGCAGGTGCACCTCCACTGTTCTCGTTATGTGTTTGTTTGTTATGTTCATGATAGTGGCTAAAGAAGCCACCGCACAATTCTCATAGAAACCAGCTACAGGAACTTCTGCCAGACATTTGCTAGATACTCCACCAAACAACAAGTCGACTTGCAATCCCTGCTTAAACTCAGAAGAACAAACAAGTTGACTTTCTGCATTCCCTGTTGTTTGTTCAAATTCGGAATCACCCCCAATTTTTCTCGAAAGGAACTTGGTGCGGAGCTTCGTGCCCGCGCATCAAATCGCGGAGACGGGTGGGTGGCACATCGCGGACTGCGTAAGCCGCGCCTACGACCTCGAGGGAATGCACGTGGGCACAGTGGGCGCCGGGCGGATTGGCTTGGCGGTGCTCAAGCGTCTGAAGCCTTTCGATGCCTGGCTGGGGACCTTGGCAACCCCGGATTTTCCGAAGCGCCTGGTTGATTCGCAAGGCCTTCTGTCTTAAGGGTTGATGGGCAACCCAGTTACCCTCCCTTAGCCACCCCTGGAAGCCACCAAGGTAGTGGGAACCCCGGACCTGGTTGATGTTGATTGGGGGCTGTCCCCTTTCAGTGGGGCTTCATCACTTTTGCTGGGAATATCCGCTAGTTGATTGGATAGATAATCCGGGGTCAACATTAAAGGGAAAAGAGCAGGCGTTTTGAAAGATGATTTAATCATGTTGAAAGGTGAAATCGGGGAAACTCCATTGATCCTTCTGTTCCCTTTGCCCGTCAAAGCAACCTCAAAACGAGAACCTTGAACAAAAGACACCCATCTGGGGTCTGTCGAAACATACCCCAAATCACCACTGATGGCAAGGGGGCCGCAAAACGAATGCGGATTGGTTCAGGACCCGGGCCGCGCTCAGGTTTTGATTTTGACTTGGGTGCTCCGAGCGTGGGTTGTGTTTTTCGATGTGTTTGCAAGGATCAGGTTTGCGGTTAGTGAGGCTTGCCTCTAACTCATCACAGTGGAAGGGCTCATGCTGCTGATCCCTCTAACAGCTTGAGCAAGTTGTAGCGACCATTCCTGAAGATCAGGACATCAGTAGTTGTTTGTATGGGTGTTTGTGTGTGTGTGTGTGTGTGTTCACGCATGGTGTCCTTCATTGCCTGAATTCTGTTTCGCAGGTGGAAAAGGTCAGTACTCCTTTTAACCCAATAAACGGGCACTTATTCGAGTTATGGTGAGCTTCGCCACTGCGAAGTCACAAGTCTTAGACTCGGCGCCAGCGGAAGAGTTGCTATGCCCATGCGGGCAGTGTTTGGGCAACATTTGCCTCGCATCTGAGGCGCGCGTCTAGAACCGCGGGCACAACCCAGGGCTGAAGCAATTGACGCCGAGCATTTCACGTTGCAGCCGCGCGATCCTCTTCCAAGCAACGCAAAGCAAACTCAAGCCGCACTCCGCCGCCGCGGCTTGCAAAAGTTCCCAAAAGTTGCCACGCGGCCGACTTCTCCGGGTTCAGATATTGCATGATCCAGGAGCTGTGAATCAGGTACCACTGAGTTGGTGGTGCGGATTGGTGGTTTGGGAAATTTGAACTCCTGGCTCTTGTAGAGGGAGCTAGGAAATTTTCCCGAAGCCACCCAGCCACCAATCCAAACCCACTTGGGAAGCTGAGTTGTCGCAAGGTAGACCTACCCGCCTGAATCGTGTCACCCATTCAACCACAGGGTATGCAAGCGAAGATCTAAGGACACGGTGCTGCACTACTTCGACAACCATCGCCTGCCAGAGACTTGGTGAAGCCATTGGTACAGCCATCAAGATGGGGGACCTTGGTATTTGTTGCTGAACCGAAACGACCAACTTCCTAGCCTCAACCCTCTTTTCGTTGCTGATAAATAGCACGTCCACCGGAGCTGCGTGGAGCCAGCCTTTGCTTATCCCTTGAAGTGGCGTCCTGGTATTGCCTGTGATCAACCCCGTGAAATTGAACGGAGTTTTTGAGCATCACAAAGCCAATACACACATTGAATGCGATTGATCATGGCACCGCTTGTCGGTTGAGCGTGGCTATGTTGGCGAATCCTTGTTTTAGGATCTTGTTGATTGCCTAGCCATGTGAGGTTCAGCTTTTCAAGGCGTTGATGGTTGGTTGGGAGGGACTCACTGAAATGTGACCGCTCAGCTCCTACCGAAAAGCTAATGCTTGGCCCCTCTGGCCTTCCGTGTGCCATGGTGAAACGCCCTTTACTTGGGGCACTCGGGATGGTCAACCCTTGGGTGAACCATAGCTGTGTCTACACGGAGTTTGACGATGGCATATGCTCCTATTTGCACCAGCGTCACTTTTTTTCCAAGATCATGCAAGTTACTTGCACAAAGCAAATTGATATGTTTGACCTTCTGTTTACTCTTGCTTTCTCATTTTAGCTCATATTGATCGTAGGTTCCAGCAAGTCATTATGTCGTTTCGTTGGCAAGTGACGCCTGCGAAGTTGGAGGTTAAGAGTGTCATGATAGCAGCTGCCAGGAAAGCGTGGAGAAAGAGCTGAACTTGACATATCACGACTCGGTGCAGTCGCTGGTGAAGGTCTGCGACGTGGTGACCATCAACTGCCCTCTGCACCCCAAGACCGAGCACCTGTTCAACGAGGACGCAACGGCTGACGGAAGAGGCTTCGTCGCCATCTGGTTTCAAGCCCTCCAAAGGGTTTCATTTGAGTCACGTCCTCAAAACTCGGGCAAGTGAAGGTTAGTCAGGGACAGTCCCAACCAATTCTTCATTCTTTACATGATTCCGGGTGGACCAATTTAATACCAGGTTTTGATTGTGACTGATGTTTGTTTCCATGGAAATCCACTGGGGGTTTGGACCGAAGATGGCGCCTCTTCAGGGGACCTCAAGTTGCGCCCCTTGCGCGATGTAACATCCGCTCAAAAGGTTCGACTGCCCAGCTAAGTAGAAACTAGTGTGAGCTTTGTCTGAACCTTAGTCAGGTTGGAACCAAAAGTCGCTGTGGGGAGCTGCTCAAGTGGGACAGACCGAGTGGATATCTCAACGGGCCTGTCATGGGCGCTTGCCCAGTCTCGTACATGTTCTGAGCAAAATGGAATTGGGGGAGTCTCGGGAGTGTCAGGGATGTATTTCCTGGAATTCAATTTATGGTACTTGTACCATTTCTTCTTGGGACGAGATGAAAGGAGCAGCAACACTCCCGCCGCCCCCTCCACCCTCCCCGCCCTGAGGAGCGGTGGATGTGTTATGAGAACACCCTGTGTGGACCCCTTTTCAACAGGAGAGTATCAACATACCCAAGTCTAAAGATCAGCTTGGCACATGTTTCCCGCAAGGCAGCAGCAAATGTGCCCCCTGCAGACTTAACTTGTAGGTCTTTGGGGCCTGAGGTGGATCCTCAGTCCATGTGGACGGACGGAACATGGACAGGGCGCCAGGGATGGATGAAGCCCTATGAGCATCTACCAACTGCGAACCGGATTTTTGCATCCAGGGGCCAAAACATTTGGGGGAACAAGCCCGGAAGGCTGAAGGTGGCGTTCATGAGTGAGCCCAGACACTCAGCTTGCTATTCTCCGATTTGTTGGCGAGGGCGTCCTGTAGAGACGACTACCAGCAAAGGGTGCCCATGTTTCCCAATGGGTGCCCATGTTTTTCCCATGGAAATCCACTTGCGGTTTGGGTTGGCGCCTATAGTGGGTCTGTGAGGAGGGGGGGTTCCCTTTGAAGTCAGGCACCAACAACGGGGTTGCACTTGTTTGGCCCTGGCTTTCCACTTGCTGGTGCTCGGGAATGTAGGAATGAACCTAGGCACTACGGATGCCCTTAAAGCAAACCACCAGTTGCATGGTTTATGGGGATCATTCCCACATTCCCTGCCTATCGCACCAGCAAGTCCGCTGGCATTCTCAAGGTCTTGGGGGGGGTGGGGTGGGGCAGGTGGGGGGGAGGTGGGGGAGGTGGGAGCCGTGAAGGAGATGATCCACTCCATGAAGCGTGGCTCCTACCTCATCAACACCGCGCGGGGCAAGATCTGCGACGCCTCCGCCGTGGCCAAAGCCTGCGAGGAGATGGCCATGGCACAGTCCGGGTCAAGACTGTGGGCTTCTTTTGGTTGGGGGCAATAGGAATTGACGCAAAAGGTGCTGAAAACAAAGGGCTTGGAACAAACATGAGGTGTGTAACAACATATGCTGACACCTGATGAATACCTCCCCCAGGGCTTTGTCACTTTTTAGTGGGGAATCCTTTCTTCCAGAGGGCTTCTACAGGAAATGGCCCAACACGCCCTAATTTAGCAGTTTTCCCGTAGACCTTCATCTGCAGCACCCTTTTGATTCTTCCAGAGGGGACCCCCCGTGCCATGGACACCTAGAGTCCATTTTACAACCATGAACCCTAAAAAACCTCCCTAAGTGTCCACCATACGGACCCCCCCCCCCCCAAAACAGCCCGGGGGGTGGGGGGAGTGAATCAGGGGTCAGCCTAACGCTCCAGGAGGGTCACCTGGCGGGCTACGCCGGGGACGTGTGGTTCCCTCAGCCAGCGCCAGGCGACCACGCCCGGAAACCCGGAAGACTCCATTTGGGGCCTCCAGTTTTGACTCTCACCCAGATAGGCTCGGGGTGGTCCGGGGCGGCCCTGAGGTACGGTTCCACGAGGGTTCCACCAGGGTTCCACCAGGGTTCCACCAGGGTTCCACTAGGGTTCCACCAGGGTTCCACCAGGGTTCTACGAGGTTCTGTGAGGGCGAGGTGGTGCGAGCACTAAAAAGAGCACCGTATGCTGTTGGGGATATCACATGAGCTTATTTTTGTTGTTTTGGATCTTGATTTTTGCCATTTACATTGCCCAAGAGGGGTTGTTGTCTTTTTGAAGCCTGGGCGGCGCCATGAAACGAGTCGCTCAAAAATTAATATAATGGATGATGCTTTTAGGTTGGCAATCTAGAGGCGGAACGACGGAGCTTGGCGAAGATTGACATGGTGGTCATTTAACTTTGTGCTGGTTCAGAAAGGACACCAACCGTCTTCAGCGTGAATTGAGCCACTGGCTGAGCTTCGGGCATCCCGACACGAAATCGCCGAGGTCTGGCGAGGCATGAAGGGCAATGCCATGACGCCCCACGTTTCAGGCACCTCCTTGTCGGCGCAGGCACGGTATGCCGCGGCTTGGAACTATGGGGGGCCGGCTCTGTTCTTTCCACGGTTGCAAGCCTTCAAATGGCCACAAAACACGGGACCCGTGGGAAGGAGGTTGGGTCTTCCTACTTATTTAGAATTCATGGCGGGTGCTCAGCCGTGCCAGTGCGTTTCGGAATGGAAAAGGGTTTTACGAGGGTCCATGAGGTCGAGGTGGGATGTTTTTCCTTCAAGGTTTGCATAAAAGAAGTGATGGGCCCCCCTAAACATGTGACCCCTTCAGACATGTACGTTTGCTGTCGGCCCGAAAAAAGATACCTTCGCATCCGAGGGATGCCCTTTGCCCCCAACGCTACCTGAAGGATAGCCCCGGACGATACCCCTCGGCAGCAATCCTAGCCAATGAGGCCATGCGCCGCTGAGCCTTCTGTTTTGCGTGTTGCTCAACATTCGGCTATCCAAGCGAAATTTCGGCGCCTAGGGCAGGCAGGTGGGTAGCGCCTAGGGCAGGCAGGCAGATTCGAGAGCCAAGGCAGGCGTCCGGGAGATCTTGGAGTGCTTCTTTGCTGAGAAGCCGATCCGCGATGAGTATCTCATCGTACAGGAGGGGCGCTTGGCAGGAACAGGCGGGCTTGGGCAGATTGTAGCTGGGTGTTGCTTGGTTCAGCCTCGGCCAAAAAAATGGGAAACAAGGCAAGTTGTGGTGTTGTGTTGGTTTTGGACTTTGCAGTGGTTTCACTGCAATCCAAGGCCCCCAGGGTCTTTGGGGGAAGGGGCCATAGTGCTCGCACAGATGCATTCAATGGAAGGTGAACTCAGAAACCGCTGGGTTTCCGTCTCCCACAGCACGCGGGTCTTATGCTGAATCGGTGCAGAAGTGTCACATGATTTAGAGTCTCTTCCAGTATGATAGAGTGTTTAGGGTAGACTAAATATGATACAGAATTTGTGAAGCTTAGTGTTTGGAGTACCCCAGATGTGGACCGAGTTATATTTGGTTTCCATCTCCCTGTCCCCTCCTCTCTCGCTCTCGCTCTCTCTCTCTCTCTCTCTCTCTCTTTCTCTCTCTCTCTCTAGCTCTCTCTCTCTCTCTCTCTAGCTCTCTCTTCCTCCCCTTCTCTCTCTCTCTCTCTCACTGCGCGTGTCTGTGCTATCATTCGAGTTTTCTCAATCAATGGTGACGGGGGTGAGTAGCTGGCGGTTGAATGGAAGGTAGATTTGTCGCTGAGCTGTATGGGCAAACAAAAGGGTTGAGTGAACCGCACTGTGTGTCACAGCTAGTTTCTGTGTGGTGATCTATGGGTCGGTCGGTCTCAACATAGGGGAGCCCTTCTTGGTGTTGATGTGAAGGGAAGCCAAAAGGAAGCCAATCATTGTGGAATTGTGGGGTTAGCTTATTTTGAGACAAATCCAGTTCTATCTATTCAAGTCGAGTTTGAAATGTGCGAGAGTTATGGCTGTACGGAGAAAAGTGCACATGGGTACCTTGGTTTGTGGGGGGTTTTTCAAGGGAAGCCAACAGGAAACCACACATTTTGGGGGGGGTTCCCCTAAAAAGGAAACACCTTGGTTTAGGGGCAACCTGGGAACCATTTTCTGGAGGGTTTCTCTAAAAAAGAAGACACGATGGACATCAGGGCTCCCATTTCGTTTGATGCGCTAGGTGCCCACAGCTACACGGAGGGCAATACCACTCAGGGCTCTGAGGCGGGCGATTTCAGCCGCTTTTGAGAGGCTGCCTAGGCAAATTCGGAACCCACCATGAAAAGAACCAAAGACATGACTCCCCTTTTGGGTTCAATTTGTGAACTAGGAGATGATGTTTGAGTGACTGGTCATGATTCAACAGAGGCCTGTTGGATTTGTTGTTGTTTTTGGGGAAAGCGTATTTATTGGTCCCAACCCGAATCTTTTCCTGGGCTGGACTACCACGAAGGTGCTTTTGGCGGTATTTTTCATAGATATCGGGGGTGCAACAAGTGACTTGTGTAGAAAGGGATCCGCCCTTCCATGGTTGATCTCTTCAGGGTTCTGTTCGTCCGGACCAGTGTTCAGGAAGGGTTCCTGGGGCTGTTCGGGATACTTGTTTATTATTATTATTATTATTATTTTTTAATTTTATTATTTGTATTAGCATTATTAGCATTGTTAGTATTATTAGTATTATTAGTTTGTCTCAAATAATGTCTGGCGGTGTTCAACAAACGTTGGATCGGCCGAATTGGAGTCGGCTTACAGACCCAGTCGCAGCCCGACTCGAAGCCCGACTCGAGGAGGCGGCGCGCTTCAAGGAGGAACGGCCCTGCAAGGTGCAGCGCACTTCTGTGGGCGGCAGCTGAGACGCCGGAGGCGCGCCTCATAGCCCGCGGGGGTCTCATGGATTCATGTTGGTTGACCCCAAGATAGACAAAAAAAAACAGGCTCACACCCAAGGGTGGTAGGGTGGTTGACTTGACCAATTCCTGAATATGTTTGAGCCATGTAGACCCGGTCCAGTTGATCTAGTAAATTTCAGGCGCCAGCGCAAAGGATAGAATCTAGCAGAGTGTATGTGTATACAGTTGTCTTCCAACATATATATACCTGGACCTTCCAACATGTAAAATTAACGCCGTTTCCCAAAACAGCAATAATTTTCGCCGGTTGCTGAAAAAAATGCTCTTTCGGAGAAAAAGCGCTCGCCGTGAGTCCAGCTCGGAACCAGGCAAAAAAAAAACGCCGTTTCGCCGGCAAATTACGCCGTTTTGACGGCGAATTACGCCGTTTTGCAATTTTGATTGATGCCAGAGTGTGCAAACACTGAAAACTGCCGGCAGGCGAAAATAATCGCCGTTGGGTCAAAAGACATAGTTTTTGACGAAACAGCAATAATTTTGCACATGTTGGAAGACCCAGGTATATATTGTGCCAGTCCCGCCCCCCCCCCCCCCCCTCCCCGCCCTCCCAATGGTATCAGCATCCTCTGACAAGAACCAAAGAGGGACAAACTCGCTTTCCCTGCTTGGGCAATGACACGACCCTGACCTAGCCTTAACTTCCAGCATCTCTAGCAGGGCCTTGGTCCCTAACACCTTCCAGCAACAGAAAGCTAGCAGTTCGTAACAAAGAGCATTCCAGCCCACACAAATACCCCATTTCCTGTCCGAACCCGTATGGTTCGACAATCACATCTGGCAAGACGTTGAATACTTTTGACTCAAACGTCAGGTTCTGTCTTTAGCCCTGCCAGCCTTCACCATAACCTGGAATGTTTTTACCCTTCTTTTGCCTCAACTGTGCAGCCCCCCCCGAACCACCCACAGCAACGCAGATAGTATCTAAAGTTGCCATGGCTTTGTGTTTTGCCTTACTGGGGGAGCCCTTTCAAGCCGTTTGTTCACGTAAAAAGTCCCTTTTCCAGGCTCGTTCTGAGGACCACCCGCTCAGAGCTTTTTGCCCAGGCCCTTTTTCCAGCGGATGAACAGATGTTCCAGTGATCAACGACTCACATGGTGAGGGAGCCATGATTTCAACGCAAATTTCAACCCGCTCGTCCCCTCGGGTGATGCTCCCTTCAAGTAACTCGAGACACGAAGGGGCCTTGGCCAGCCCGATGTGTTGGTCAAATGTCAATGGACCAGATCACCCCGCCCCATACCTTAGGAGGTCCTTGAAATGTCCCAGAGGAAAGGCCAGACTCTTTCAGTTCCGATTGACTGGCTAGGTCCTACGGGCTGGACTGTCCAGACGTGAGACTTTCAGCGCGTCTGACGTTTAGAATGTTTGAAAGAAAAGCTGCGAGCTTGTACATGAACTTGCAACGCCTGAAGGATTTAGACTCGGAATGCGAACATGAGCTGAACTTTGTCGGCGACTTCAGGCGCAGTATCCCGTCCTGTGCATGAATTCCCGCGAGCGCGCTTGACCGCTTTTTGATGCTACTTGTGACGCTCAAGACGTTACACGCTCGGCATGGTTTTACAGCGGTCTTCCGTACAGCAGCGCGCTTCGTGGGCATTTCACAGGCGGTGCCACCTGCCTTTGGTTTGAAAGCGATCAAGTTAAAGATGACACCTCAGCGTGAC